CCAACCTATCTCGCCTATTCCTTATTGACTTCCATAGAGTCCTCTGTTCTCCTATTCTTTCTAATATCTCTTCATTTCTAACCTTCTCTATCCTCAATATCCTCATCATTCGCCTGTAACACCGCATTTCGAACGCTCCTAAGCTTTTGTTTTCCCCCGCGTCTACCGTTCATATTTCGCATCCGTACAGCGCCGTGCTCCTTTAACAACCTTTTTCGAATTTCTAAATTAACCGTTTGCGAGCACAGAAGCGACTTCTTTTTATTAAAGACGACTCCACCTTGCGCTATCCTCTGCTTTATATCCCTACTACCCCTTTCGTCCTGACTTATCTGACATATAAAAATGATGAAAATGATTTACCAAGGTCTAAATAGGTAAGCAAGTATCTACTGCTGTTAATACTGATTGTGAGTTGACTTAACAGTTCTAAATTCTAATAATTCTCTCTCTTATCGTATCGGAAATCCCTGCGCCTGTCTGAACCCATACGGAGTCGATTGTTTATTTCAAAACACGTATACAGAATTTTACAGATATCAGAGAATGGTCGAAGTTGCTCACGTACTTTTGCATGTACGTGTTGTTCGAACGGCATCCAGACATGTACAAGACGCATATTCGAATAAAAGAAGAATGAGCTAGTAATTCTTTAGCTACGAACGCTGTAGTCGTATCTGTAGTGGTTGGCTGACGAACTAACCTTTCATTGGTTGCGTGGAGTGCTTTTACGTGGTTTCTATTGCGTGTCCTGCGAATGTAGATTGATAAAACGTCATGCATGCGCTTTTATGTAGACGCTGAACAACGTAAACCTTGCAATTCACGATCCTTCGCGACCGACGGAAATGACGGGCAGCGTGTGCAAGCAAATTTTACTAAAAAGTGCTTAAATATCTGGCATTACAGTTTCCGTATTTACTAACGAACGACCAATACCGGGACAACAGAGTACTGCTACTTTTTAATTGTTGCCAAATGTCATGCGTACTAAGGACCATATACTACGTATAACAAACATTCAGGAGCATTCACTTAATCATTATTATAGGGTAGTCAGTCCTAAGACTGGTTGGAAACGCACCTCCACTCTTTCCTATGCTGAGCGAATCTTCGCATCTTCCTTAACTATTTGTGAACAGTAATCTAATCTACGATAGATCTACCTCTACTCCTCTGAACTTCTGTTTCTGCTTCTAATATGTCTCTAACTTTCTTTATCCATAATATCCTCATCATTCTCCTGTAACACCACCGAACGCTTCTAACCATATTTTTTCGCCGTTCGCACAGATCCATGCTCCGGTCATGCACCTTTAACAATTAACAACCCCTTTCGAATTTCTAAAGTAACTGTTCTAGAACATAGAAGTGATTCTTTCTGGTAAAGTCAACTTTACTCTACGCTATCCTTTCGTTTTATATCTCTATTGTTCTTTGCGTCCTGAATTATTTGACTTCCCAAATACTGAAAATCAGCAATATCTAATTATTTGTCTCCTGTCTTTATATTCACCTTTTTCCTATTTTTTCATAGCTTGCAGATCAATACTTTTTGTTTTACTTTCGTTTATTTTCATACCATACTATTTTGTTAATACCGCTTCCCACTCTATTTAAAGCTATCTCTAAGTTCTATTTTTCAGATTCACTCACTAAACATCATTAATTTTATTATCGTCAATATTTACTAAGAAGGAGACGATATCCCTAAAGGCGCGTATACACTATAAGAACGAGTATGAACACGAAAGGCGAGGCAGAACGAATTCGTTTAGTGTGGACGGGCAACTTCGTGGCGGTAAATTGCCGATTGTTCGGACCATCGACGTTTACTAATGGACAAGCCTTAGCGGCCAGAATTGTGGTACAACAAAAGAAAGAGATGGAACGAAGTTTCGGACGATATCCATCTCTCTCACGATAGTGCGTAAGCGTGTCATGAAAGAGATAGCACGAGTCCGAAACCATACGCCATCTCCCTCACTTTTCGAGCCAAGAAATTATTACAACGACATACGGCTAAGGCATGTCCATTAATATATGTCTATGGTTCGGACGGTATATGTTTTGAAATTGTACTATATACATAAAGATAGTGATTTGATGTGGACGGCATTTGTGAATATACTTGGAGTTATTTTATTAATATATAGTCGTCGTCATCACCCATTACCTATCATCATCATAAGATCGTCAGTCTTAAGACTGGTTGGACACGCACCACCACCCTTCCTATCCTGAGCTAATCTTTGCATTTCCCTAAAGCTAAAACAACCCACATCCTTAACTATTTGCGAACAGTAATCTAATCTAGGTCTACCTCTACTCCTCGTAACTTCTGTTTCTTCCTCTTATATGTCTCTGACTAAACTTTCATGCTTAAAAAGGTGTCCTACCAACCTATCGCTTTAGCAACATCTGCCCGAATAAGAAGACACAACTGCAAAATTGTTGAAACGTCAAAAATCTCAATATTGTTAAATACCAAGCAAAGGCAACCAGTCGCTCTTTAATAGCATTAAGTATGTTATTCATTTCAATATCGTCAAGTTTCAAACTTACGACCATATTGCATGCCAGATTCACTAGAGACCATATTGCAAGGACAGGCTGCACTCTTTATAGTAGGTCAGTTTAATTAGTTATACTGTATGATATATGTATATGCATTTCAATTTCAATATCTTTTGATATAGGGCGGGTTATCTGTAGCATACTTTATTAGGGAATTTAAAACTATAAATGCTATGTTAAGAAGTTTTATAAAACAGAGAAAGAAGGCGTTCAAATGTTTAAATGCACAACCAAAGAAGAATAAACAATTTCGAGCATAGTATAACTATTGTATATAGTAGAAATTGGTATTGGTATATCTCTAAAATGCAAGCTTAAGCCTCTTATCATCTTATCTTGTCCCTGGATTACAATTAGTATAAAAGCTCTCATAATTAGGCATTCTCTTGAAGTCGTTTGGACGGAGTACGCAATGTCGGCATGAATTAGTACATCTACGTCTTAAGTATATGCTATACGAAGTTTCATACTTAATTATAAAACAAAGTTTTTATTTCGTTTTCTTCATCATCATAAGATAGTCAGTCATAAGACTAAGATTTAAGATTAAGATTTAAATTCGAATTCAAAGACATAAAATATGCATAGTATGTGTAACGGCATAACGACATAGGTATTCATTACGTTCTAAACGTTTATCAACTTTAAATTCAGTAAATATCAAGGGTGAACAACCTATCAACCTTCAGGGCTTTTAAACGTACCCATCTTACCGAGGGTGAGAAGCTATTTCGATTTTAAATCGCAATCTCCAACGAGGCAGAGAATAAGACGGAAATTATTAAGATAAGAAGATTAACTTTATATTCGAAAAACTCGTCACTCATAGACAGGTTCAAAAAAATGCACAACGATTTTAATTATAACGAGAATTTTAGAGCAAACCGTTTAGCAACAATAAAAAAAATCCTATAGATTAGTGAAGGTAAATATGCTATTTCAATTTTTATGTTCCATACAATGAAGTAATCTTGTCAAATTGTTATCTCTTTAAGTAACAGGTCAATTGAAAATTCCCCGGCCTAAAATAGTAAAACACATTTTTTTTGCAAAATTCGTTTTTTTTATTCAACATAATTCCCTTCAAGGGTGATTATAGCGATCCTCCAACTTTTCGATACCATTTTTGTAGTACGATTTGTCCTTTGCTTCAAAATAGGCCTCAGTTTCGGCGATCACCTCTTCATTCGATGAAAATTTTTTCCCAACGAGCATTCTTTTGAGATCTGAGAACAGGAAGTAGTCGCTGGGGGCCAGATCTGGAGAATACGGTGGATGCGGAAGCAATTCGAAGCCCAATTCATGAATTTTTGCCATCGTTTTCACTGACTTGTGAGACGGTGCATTGTCTTGGTGAAGCAGGACTTTCTTTTTCTGCAAATGCGGTCGTTTCTCGGCGATTTCGTCCTTCAAACGGTCCAATAACGCTATGTAATAGTCGCTGTTGATGGTCCTTCCTTTTTCAAGGTAGTCAATGAAAATTATTCCACGCGCATCCCAAAATACAGACGCCATAACCTTGCCAGCCGACTGTTGCGTTTTTGCACGCTTTGGAGCGGGTTCATCGTGTGCAGTCCACTCCGATGACTGTCGATTGGACTTCGGAGTGAAATGATGGAGCCATGTTTCATCCATTGTCACATATCGACGCAAAAACTCGGGTTTATTACGCGTGATCATCTTCAAACACTGCTCTGAATCATCAACTCGTCGTTGTTTTTGGTCAAAAGTGAGCTCGCGCGGCACCCACTTTGCACAGAGCTTTCTCATACCCAAATATTCGTGAATGATGTGATGTATACGTTCCGTTGATATCTGTAGAGTGTCTGCTATTTCATTCAATTTCAATTTACGGTCATTCAAAATCATTTTGTGGATTTTTTTAATGTTTTCGTCCGTAACAGCCTCTTTTGGGCGTCCACTGCGTTCACCGTCTTCGGTGCTCATTTCACCACGTCTAAACTTAGCATACCAATCCTTGATGGTTGATTTTCCTGGGGCAGTGTCCGGAAATTCGTTATCAAGCCAAGTTTTTGCTTCAACTGTATTTTTTCCCTTCAAAAAGCAATATTTTATCAACACGCGAAATTCCTTTTTATCCATTTTTTTCACAATAACAAAAGTTGCTTCACTAAAAATGCTATAATTCACAAACTAATGATCCGACAGCCGTCAAATTTATAGACGCGTTTTTTGAAGGTTAGGACTAACTGAAAATCATATGGATTTAGTTCTAGTGCCGCCATCTATGTGTCAGGCCGGGGACTTTTCAATTGACCCTAGTATATTAAGTGGTTAGGTAATTCTTCCCCATTAATAACAATTTACCTGAATGTCGGAAAAGGCTGTACGAGTAGAGCACGACATTCGATTTGAAATATTGTTACAATCTGCAGCTAAATAATTAGATAGAAAGTACTAACCTTTATGAGATGTATGGAACGGTGCACCTGAAGATGGCGAGATAGAACTTGATGCAAAGCGTCCTATCGTACTCGAATGCGAATAAAGGGCACCTCCGAATCCAGGACCACCCGGAAAAAGGGAGTACACCCCGTATCGACTTAAACCTGTAAAGCATAAAAAATTCTCTTTGTGATTAAATTCCTAACACGAAATTTAACAGACTGTTTAAACTTAGTCAGGTATGAACCTCAACTCCAACAATAACCGATCATCCAACCCCTTTAATCTCTTTCAGTTCAAGGTAAACTTCTTCTGTACATTGCGGAAGTGTCTGTGATAATCTCTCCTGAATCATTTGCCTTTCAATGTGCTTCTAATGCTGTGGTGCTAAGTGTACGGATTTAGGATTAGACTCCGGCCTAGGAAGCCAAAATTTGAAGGGTGACTAAGAATTTCTACAATTTTCTCAGAAATAACTTAATTTTAATTCACAACCTAAGCCTCTTGCTCTAGGTCGTAAGTAAATATAAATTAAGACATAAAGGATAAATATTCTATGATCGATGCGTTTTGTCCAACGCCGAGACTTTTGTTTTTCCGAAATAAATTAGTTCCTTCTTATGGCCGCTTTCATTCCTTTGATATTTTAAGCAGTAGCATAGTTATAGTTTAGCCTAACCAGTCATATGACTGACGACCTTATGACGGTGATAACGATGATATCCATTTCCTTATCATCATCATCAAGTCGTCAGTCCGAAAACTGGTTAGAATGCACTTCATTATTTCCTATCCGGAGCCATTTCCCTAAAGTTAGAACTACTCACGTTCCTAACTATTTATGAGTAGAACCTCTGCTTATTTTTACATTCATTTATGTCCCTAATGTCTCTAACTGACCCTTCATGTCTCTCTGATATGCTTTCTCTCCTTTTTCTTATCTACTTCCTTAGCACTTTTCTTTTTCTAATACTCTTTCTAATAGTTCTTCATTTCTAACCTTTGTTTATCCACTATATTTTCATCACCAGCCTATTAACACTATATTTCTTTGTCGTCACTGACTACGTTTCGAACGCTTACAGAGCCGTCCTCCAAATATACACCATTTGCAATCATTACGTTACTCCAAATTGTATTATTTCCTTATTTTTGTTGAGGTGACAACCGGTTGGTTAAGACAAGAAAATTATTTTCCAATTTTGAGATTCCTAATTGCTTTCCATTCATTTTCGATGTTTAGTCTTTCCATTACGATTCCTATTCAATGACATTTTGGAATCAACAGCAACTGATGAGCGAGTATCATTTGAAAGCTTTGCCTAATGGAAGCTGTTCCACTGTTAATTTTTGAAATTTAGTGTTGAGGATTCAACCAGCTGGTGAAGACAAGAAAATTAATTTCCAATTTTAAGACTGCTGATTCCCTTCTAGCATAGTTCCATTCATTTTCGATATTTAGTCTTCTCATTATGATTCAATTCAATGATATTTTAGAATCACTAACTACTGATGAGCGATAATCATTTACAAGCTTCGGCTAATGAAAAATGTTCCGTGAATTTTTGAAATTTAGTGTTGGGGAGACGACCATTTAGTTAAGACAAGAGAATTAATTTCCACTTTTGATATTCTTGATTGATTTCTAGCAATTTGCCACTCATTTTCGATATTTAGTCTACCCATTACGATTCCAATTCAATGACATTTTAAAATCACCAACTACTGATGAACGAGAATCATTTAGCCACTTCGCCCAATGGAAGACGTTCCACTGTGAATTTTTGAATTGATCCACCATTATTATTAGTGAGTAAGTAATCTTATCTGGTGATGGATAAAGAAAAAGTACTTGCACACCTTACTAGGTACGCACCGTATACCACCACGTCGTTTTTTAACGAAAGCTCATCACGTATAAAATTGCAGTCTGGCAGTGACTCCGAAACACGTGCTACGATATAAATTATTTAAAAGATACTTTGCTTCTACTCTTACTGCCTCCAAATAACTAACTACCTTCTGCCACTGAAGTCGACAATTGGTTTTTTGTACCTTGCTTAACCGCTACGTATGCCCGCGTAGGATACATACTCTACATAATGTAGTCATATATACCATACACCTCCTACATGTATGTATTCGTTCTAAAAATAGCCAAAATGTCAACTTCATGGATGGCGGTTTTTATGAACCAACGGGTATGAATGGAAGTGCATGGATTCATCGTTTCAACTATACAATAAATAAATTAAGAAGCGCAAAACTATATCAATGCAGAATATACTGTTGGGGTACACCTCCTAACACTCATAAATGCACATAGCCTTTCTGTGCTCATACAGAGCCAGATAATTTGCTATAAATTTATCAAGTAATTGTTAAGAGTCGAAATTGGAGTGATGGGCAAATATTCCATTTCTCTCCTTTAGCATAGGTAACTTCCTCTTCCTACTTTTATAATTTGAGTCGATTATGAAGTTATTTCAATGCTCAATTTTTAGTTTTATACCAATGCTAGAATACGATACGCTTCAAACTAAAAAATTTCTATAGAATCTCTTGAGGAAACGTTCCACAATTAGGAAAATCCTTAGGGTATGACGCATAGGTAGGGGAGACCGGGGATGGTTGACTAGTTTTTTACTGAATAGTTCATATTTTTTGTGTTTTAATGACTATAGACAAGAAAAGCATGTTATTTGATAGAAAATCTATTAACCTAATAAAAATATGTAATATTTAGTTGTTAGTTTAGTATAATAGTGATGATTTAATGCATTTTACAAAATATTAAATCTTAGTCAATCTACCTCTGGCCCGGGGTAGGTAGACCATATGCCCGGGGTAAGTTGACTCATGTACCAGTAAGAGTCAAATCATGAGAAGGAGGAAAATAATTAAACATTTTTTTAATATAATTGAACCTTTTGTTAAAAAATAAACTGGCTAAAGTTTCCTCTTCTAGATTAGTAAAAATTTGTCAATTTTTTATATATTCCACTGGGTCCAGGGTTAATTCTGCTCTCGTCAATTTCGGATTTTGTTCTAATTTTTCTTTTAATTTGGCCACGTAACGATTTAAAAGTCCAATAAAAAGTTAATTTATGTGTTGTTTTCAACTACATATTTCATTGGGGTTGATTGAATAATTATTCAACCAGCCCCGAAAAAACTTGGTCTACCAACCCCAGACGCCATTTTTAATTTTGATCGCATGGCTAGCCTACACTGCCGTTGACTTGAAAAATAAGATATGAAATATGATAAATGTGCCCTCATTCAATGCTAGGACTAATTGATATGAAAAACATGTCAGTGATCGAAAACAACGCACGACCGCGATGTGACGCTTCAGACAACTGAGCGGGACGCGAAATGTAATGCTTGGTTATGATCAGATGTCATAGTTCATACACTGTCGAAGAGTTTTCGGTAGTTAGTCTACCTACCCCTATAGTCAACTATCCCCGGTCTCCCCTATATCAGTAAGTCAATATAGCCATTGAAAATGAACTACATATCTAAAGAAAAAATAAGAAAATTAATTAATTCACTCACCATCACTGGCGAAGGTGTTGGCAGATGGAGCTGGGGCCGGCGCTAAAGGCCAAAGGCCCCTCTGATGGGACGTTGCCCCGGGCCCGGCTGGACTGCCCAGCATTACCTAACCCACGACTCCCAACTGGAAAAAAGAAATCTATAATTAGGTAAAAGAAATTTACGAATTTTTGCATACAGATGTTGATATACCAAAAACTATTAGACAGAAAAAGGAGTTTGCAAAAACGAATGGGAACCCGTTCCTTTCTTCAGGATATGAGGTTCTAGGGATGTATCTACTTTTAGATTTAGACTTAATTACAAAGTTCACCAATAAAATGTGGAATCACTCGGGGGCTGCATGTAAATTTCTTAGCGCAGTTTGGAGAAAGGGAGTCTGTCCTGACTAAGGTCTTCTAACGTAGAAAGAGGAGAGAGTACCGAGTTGTTCTTTAGCGTTGTGACACAACCAAGTTTGTTTAGAAATTATTTATTATTGAAAATTAAAAATCGTTCGTTTCTGAATTCTGTGTCCAAAACTTTTACAATGCATGCGTTAGGAATGGAAAGAAGGGGCGGGGGGTCAGACCAAGCAATGGGGCCCCTTTATGTCGTTAATGGGGGGGGAGGTCAAACACTGATGAATTCTGGTTAGCGTAATCTATGGAAAGCCCCTAGGACAGAGCCGGGCAAACTTTAACTTCGCAGGAGCCGCTACATGAGGTTAGTTTGAGTCACTCCATACCCCTCAATGAGTACGAGAGAGTAAGCAGTAATGAATAATTTTGTTTTGTCTTTTTCTTCTCCCTTCCACTCCCATATCAAGCCCCCTCATCCCGTAGACGAGCGAAGCAACTCTCGCAACTTAAATAATACCTACGAAAATTTTTGTTAGTACGTTCGCAAAACTATTGGGTTTGGCTATGGAAGAGGGGACTCATCTACGAAATGGAAGGGATAAGAAAAGGAAAGAATCATCTCACTCGCACTCGCAGGATCAACTTGGTTAACCTTGAGGAGCACTCGGGATGCAAAAGATCCGAGTTTGCCCGGCTCTGCCCTAGGAGGTCGCAAGTGTATCAGCTGTAAACTTGGACTTTAACTACAGGTTTTGAATATTAAATATTCCACTTTCTTATCTAACATACTTTAGCAACTCCTTATTAAAATAAATAACACGAAAAGCTTCTTAATTAAAATCCCTGTACATGAATATATGAGTGGTAAGCTCAAGAGCAATCACTACAGTTTGATAGGTTGTTTTAAGCCAGTTATCACTCTCAGTAATGATTATGCATTGGGTGTTTATTACTTTTTGATCGGTCCACGTCACATTACGAATGTATAACCGGTTCATACTTTACATATACCGAGTTATGACAAGTTGGTGGAGGATATTAAGTAAGTAGTTTAAATTCATGGTTTCGACTGCTTGCTTACGATGTAAATACGAGAAAATTAATCTCCTCAAGATTTACATGAAACGCGGTTTTGGTCTCGTCGTTCCTGCTTGGCTCAATTTATTTTCTCGAAACGAATTACTTTTAACTGCTTACGGGCTGCAATTAAAATGATAAATAAAGGATATCCGGATAGAGTGGATGCGACACTTCCAATTACTGAATTCGTCCTGATGACAAAAAAAAAATAATAGGCTTATAAAAGCTTGCGTTTATGCGTCTAATACTTTACTGAAATTGAATCTTGTTGATATGATGTGAAATACAACACAAACACAAATTCTTTTTATTGTCCGAGAATTCGCAAACAACAACTTCAACACGTAGGTATCTAAAATTTCATGAAATATACTTAAAGATATTGAAATTTCCACCAAATTTCGAAATGAGTTGCAGATAAATACCTAAGATGAAAATGAGATAGGAGTGACCAATAGGATAGGCACCTCTATCCGTTCCACAGAAGGGTCTTAACAGTGTCCAACTATGTACAATGAACCACATAAATAATAATTTTATAAGATCGAAATGATTGAAGCCGTGAACTAGAACAGGAAAACTAGCTAATCGTAAAGCTCTTACAGCACCATATGAAACTGGCGTTCCAACTAAAACCAAGTGAGCGGGTCGGGCGTCGGACTACAGGCAAGGCACGTTGTTAAAGAGGCGGTTCTGCGGGGAGAAATAAAAGCATGCGTTGGGCGGTAGTGGTGGGAGAAGCGGAACAGAAACTAGACCCTGAGGGGCCCGCAGGTCGACACGACAGCCCGCGCGCTCAACCGTACGGCGCGGCGCGGTAGGAGATTCTTGTACAGTTTGGGTCTGTATGTAGTGAGAGAAGAGAATTCGTAATAAAGTTCCAGTTGGCGTGGGACGTACAAGTAATAGTAAAAACGATAATAAAGGGACTTACTGCTGGGCTTCATGCTCTGTACGGTAAATAACTGAGCTGGTTTTGATATTTCGTCCCACGGAAACAGTTTGAATTATGGTTACATTTATTATGGTGTGTTTTGGTCAATATCCAGACATAGAAAATAATAGGCAGAACACAAGGGTGGAAATTAACGAATGAGGAATTGAGGCAAAAACAAACTGTGTCAGTCACAAGATTCGATGACTGTCAGAATCTTGTAACTGACACATCAATCATAACACATTTACAGAAAAAGGCTTACAAATGTGCTGCACTTTAGTATTTAAAGTAATGCTCGCCAGGAGGTGTGTTATTTCGTTAGAAAGCTTATGAGTAGAGGATCATAAACATCAAATTAAAAGGAACCAACCTAGTCCATGTTCGATGCCATTTGTAACTAGAGCAAGCTCTTATCTTTATCATATAGCATCAGTTACAGTTACTACGATAAATAATCAGTCAGCTCTAATTCTAAGATCTACAGCTCTTCATAACAGGCGCTCATCCCTGTTGTGAGTTATGATAAAACTGCAAGGTCAAAATTGCTACTCTAGCTTGATCGTGTGCTTACTCATGGACTTTTCTGCGAGATATGATTGGTTAAGTACTGCCCCAAATACTAAAGTCCTGCCAAAAAATTTTTAGAAATCGAAAACGAAATTCCAGTGGGAGGTGTTGAAAACGGGTGATGCTTTTCAAAACTCTTCAATTACGTTTTCTTAACTATCTGGTAGCAGATGGTAATCCCAGGGTACTTTATCATTCCAAAGAGGAATTACAAGCTTTGAACCTATTTCCTTACTGTCTTCACGAAGTCTTTTTAGGTAATAAAAACAAATGTTTTCTTTTTAAGAAGAAATACGTAACTTTCGTTATATTTATCAGCAAGATTTACTATAAGGTCGTCCAGTTCTTTTAATTTTCCAACTGGTTTTAATTTTTCTTTTTTCTTAATACTTTAAAAAATGTCATCATAATAAGGCTTACAATTAGTGCATTACAGTATTGACTTTCAAATGTTAACGCTCATTGTTTCAATGTTCTGTCCAAGAAAACGTCGATTTTCAGCACAATCAACAATGCTCATATTGCAATCCAATCATATGAATACTGCACATTTCGGTGAAAAATATATCATTCTTTATCAAGTACCTGATAAGAAAATAACCGTATAACATCAACTTCGATCTAATCTTAAATACATAGATGTTTTAAGCTTACGTTTCAATGTACAAACGTTTTAATCTGACAACGTTGACAATTCAAACTTATCACATCTTTATAAACTGGAGTTACAATTTTGTCAAATGTTGTCCTTTTTTTTACTTGATAACATTCTGATCATCCACACTATTTCTTCGATATTATTATTATACCTACCTGGGATTCAGGATTGTGGACATCCAAATGGTAATTACCGCAGAAAAGCAACGGCAAATTTTAAACGATTGTTTCCGGGGAATTACCAAATTCCTTAAGCCCTATCGTCCACTTAATTGAAGAGAGTGGATATCAATTTTAACAAGAAATTTAATGTCTGCGACCGGTTAAAGAAAAATCCGTTTGAAAAGGAGTAAGGCATTAATAAAATCATATTTATTTTACTCGCCCTGTAGGAAACGTCCGATGGGAAGGGATGAAATTGTTTTTATTTAAAACTTGGCCAATAAATTTACTAATTTACTGTTTCAAAGTTAAAGTAAATCAATAGTTCCATCAGTTGCTAAGACATTTTGGAAGAATAATACCTATGAATGATACGCAGCTAGTTGATGTTCATGAAAATCCTACATTGTTCATGTACGTACTTATAAACCTGTTCCTTTTAGCGTTACCCTCATCGTACGAATCGTCGAGAGGGATGTTGTTAGAACAGAATGAATAGACAAATTAGATGATGCTTTACACTACTCGTAAATATCCTTCTTATAGGACTATTGAATACGACCATCTGTTTGATCGCTGATAGTGTTTCTCATTGAACGTATGATATCCCATTTGGAAATGGAGAGAACCTACTTATCTTTATTCATAGTGAATGTGGCTATGACATAACATATATATATATATATATATATTTTATTGTATTACCTACCTACCACCAGTTTTTATCCACGGCTTCACTTTATAAATATTATTAACATCTAAAAACTAACTGCACTGCATATTCTCATTGGGACTTAATTTGGCTTCGACGATAACCGTGAGTTAAATCTTGACCCCCTCAAAGTCAATCTTCTTTAATTCCATTAATTATTTCTTCCTAATAAAGTTAAATCCATTGTGCTACGAAGATAGCTTTTGGAGTTTCTCGTATTTTGTTATTTTATCAGTCAAAAGTAAACAGGAGAACATAGTAATGCATTTATTTGTTGTATCCTCAGATTTAAATCCCTGCAGTAGTCTAAAAAGGATTGCTTATACATTCATCCGCTCGTTAATGTCTACGAGATGTAAAAACACACCAATTAGCTAGATACAGTTTATCAATTCGTTTAAATTCGCGGCTACATGTTAGTAAATAAGGGTATAGAGGAGAGCGATGTGGATTCCCGAAGAAGTTAACTTTAAAAAACCTTTTAGGGTGTTTCATTCCCACCAGTCAGTAATGCTGGTGGGCCGGACAGTCCCTCCGGACTATGCCGGAAGACCCCTTCAGCCTCCTTTAAGGAATCGTGGGAATAAGTGGGTGGTGGTTCGGGAGAGAAAGATGAGACGGACGAAATGAAGACAGAAGAGAATGAAAGATTATCTGTGGAATATTAC